AATCCCGGGCCCCCCCCGTTTCCTGGTTTTCCCCCCCCCCGGGGGGGGGGGGTTTGTGGAGGGGGGAAAAAGGAGCCATAAAAACCAAAAAATAAGCTTCTTTTCGGTCTTCCCGGCGGAGGAGGGTGCGGTATTTCCTCTGGGATGTGGATTTTTGCCCGTTAAACCCCTGTTTTTTAGCGGGGGGGTGGGAATTCCCAACCCCCCCACGCTCTCAAGAACCGCCTTTTTTTTTTTTTTTTCCACTTTTCCGGGTTTCTTGCTTTTCAATTCCGAACGCTGATTTTTTTTTTGGGGGGGTTGGGGGGGCTTTAAAACCAACCCTACTCTACCCGAAACCTCTCCTGGTGGATCCGTCTCGGCTCCGAAGGTGCTTCCCAAGGGAAGAAGAGTGAAAGTTAATAGTGGGGGGGAAAGGCTCAGGGAGGGTTTTCCAACTGGGAATTTGGGGGGGGGATTGGGTGGAGCTGCTGGAAACGCCGCCCAAAATTCCACCCCCCCCCACCTGGATTAAGGGGGGGGTCTCCAGGTGGGAACTTAATCCCGGTGGGAAGCAACCGGCGCCTTCCCGACCCCCCCAACGTCGGCTTCTCCCTGCGCTGGGAGGGGAGGACTCGGGGGGCACATGTGTCCCCCCCCCCTCAAAGGGCACAGCTTGAGGTGTTGGGGGGGGGATTTGGGGGAAGCAGAGTTTCCTTGTTGGCTAATTTTGGGTTTTTTAAGGCAGGTTTCCGTTTGGGAAGGGATCTGAGAACCAGGGAAGGCAGAGGCTGCGAGTGAAATTCAAATTAATCAAAGAAATCAAAACCACAAGAAGTGATAAAACCGCCTCCAGAAGAAAAAAAAAAAACAAAACACAAAAGAAAAAGAAACCAAAAAAAGATTTAAAGATGAAGAGATTAAAAAGGCGACGAAGGCGGCGTGTGTGTCGTCGTCCCCCCCCACCCCAGCACCGGGATTTTCCAACTCTTTTTTGAGTTTTTCCGACTCTTCTTGATTTTTTCCGCCTCTTTTTGATTTTTTTCCACTCACCTTGAGGTATTTTTCCAGCATCTTGACGATGTGTTTGTTATTCAGGACGCTCTTGGCCACGTGTAAACTGGTCTTTTTGAACTGTTCGGCTGCCATCTGGGGAAAATGAAAAGATAAACCCTGAGTATCCAGATAAAGAATAAAAAAATATTAATTATTATTAATTATAATTTAATAACTAACTCCCCAGCTCAAAAAAAAAGGCCAATTTTCCCTTTTAATGTCAATTTTTCCCTTCACTTCCCCATCAGCAGCTTCAGATCCCAGACCATATGAGGGTGGTTTTACAACAGATAAACCCTGAGCACCCAGATTAATGATAGAAAATATTAATTATTATTAATTATAATTTAATAGGTAGCCCCCCAGCTAAAAAAAAGACACCTGGATTAAGGGGGGGGTCTCCAGGTGGGAACTTAATCCCGGTGGGAAGCAACCGGCGCCTTCCCGACCCCCCCAACGTCGGCTTCTCCCTGCGCTGGGAGGGGAGGACTCGGGGGGCACATGTGTCCCCCCCCCCTCAAAGGGCACAGCTTGAGGTGTTGGGGGGGGGATTTGGGGGAAGCAGAGTTTCCTTGTTGGCTAATTTTGGGTTTTTTAAGGCAGGTTTCCGTTTGGGAAGGGATCTGAGAACCAGGGAAGGCAGAGGCTGCGAGTGAAATTCAAATTAATCAAAGAAATCAAAACCACAAGAAGTGATAAAACCGCCTCCAGAAGAAAAAAAAAAAACAAAACACAAAAGAAAAAGAAACCAAAAAAAGATTTAAAGATGAAGAGATTAAAAAGGCGACGAAGGCGGCGTGTGTGTCGTCGTCCCCCCCCACCCCAGCACCGGGATTTTCCAACTCTTTTTTGAGTTTTTTCCGACTCTTCTTGATTTTTTCCGCCTCTTTTTGATTTTTTTCCACTCACCTTGAGGTATTTTTCCAGCATCTTGACGATGTGTTTGTTATTCAGGACGCTCTTGGCCACGTGTAAACTGGTCTTTTTGAACTGTTCGGCTGCCATCTGGGGAAAATGAAAAGATAAACCCTGAGTATCCAGATAAAGAATAAAAAAATATTAATTATTATTAATTATAATTTAATAACTAACTCCCCAGCTCAAAAAAAAAGGCCAATTTTCCCTTTTAATGTCAATTTTTCCCTTCACTTCCCCATCAGCAGCTTCAGATCCCAGACCATATGAGGGTGGTTTTACAACAGATAAACCCTGAGCACCCAGATTAATGATAGAAAATATTAATTATTATTAATTATAATTTAATAGGTAGCCCCCCAGCTAAAAAAAAGAAAAGGCCAATTTTCCATTTTATTATCATTTAATATCAATTTTTCCCTTTACTTCCCCTTTTCCCACAGTTGCCCCATCAAAAGCTTCCAACCCAAGGGAGCTTTTTTAACAGATAAACCCTGTGCACCCAGATAAATGATAGAAAAATCTTAATTATTATTAATTATCATTTAATAAATAACCCCCCAGTTCAAAAGAAAGAGCCAATTTTCCCTTTTTAGATGATTTAATATCCATTTTTCCCAGCAGCAGCTTCCGATCCGAGACTGAAGGAATCCGAGGGTATTTTTTTTTAACAGATAAACCCCGATAATAGATAATATTAATTATTATTAATTATCATTTAACAGGTAGCCCCCCAGCTCGGAAGAAGAGCCAAATTTCTGTTTTAATGTCAATTTTCCCTTTCGCTTCCCCATCAGCAGCTTCAGATCCCAGACCTTCTGAGGGGGGTTTTTCAACAGATAAATCCCGAGCGCCTGAATGAACGATAGAAACTATTAATTAGGATTAATTATAATGGAGGAGGGGGCTCACCCTGCGGTTCCTGTTGTGGTCAGCAGATCGCAGGTGCCTCTGGAGCAGGTGGTTCTGGGCAGGGATCAACATGTCACAGGCCATGCAGTGAGCGGCCTCGATCTTCTTGAAGAAATGTTCTTGGCCGATACCTACAAATACCCCCCAAAAATGAGACTTTCAGCCAATTAACGGGTGTTTTCCCAGAATCACAGGAATATTTGGGGTGGGAAGGGACCTTCTGGAGATCGTCTCCTCCAACCCCCACCCAGCAGGTCCCATCCAGGCAGGGGTTGAATGTCTCCAGAGAAGGAGACCCCCCCACCTCTCTGGGCAGCCTCTCCCAGGGCTCTGCCACCCTCAAAATGGAGAAGTTCCTCCTCACGTTGAGATGGACCTTCTCCTGTCCCAGTTTGTGCCCGTTCCCTCTTGTCCTGTCACTGGGCACCACTGGAAAAAGCCTGGCCCCGTCCTCCTGACACCCCCCAGCCAGGAGATCCCCCCTCAGCCTTCTCTTCTCCAGACTCCAAAGCCCCAAGTCCCTCAGCCCTTCCTCCTCACAGAGATGCTCTCCTCCCCTCATCATCTTCGTAGCCCTTGGCTGGACCCTCTCCACCAGTTCCCTGTCCTTCTGCAACTGGGGAGCCCACAACTGGTCCCAGTGCTCCAGATGGGGCCTCCCCAGGGCAGAGCAGAACCTCAAGGTTCTCCACGCTCTCTGGGGCCCCACAATTTAAAGCCGGGGCCACCCCAAATTAACCCAGGGCACCCCAAATTGAAGCCGAGCACCCCCGAAATTAAGCCAGGGCACCCCAAATTGACTCGGGGCACCCCAAATTGAAGCCAAGGCCACCCCAAATTGAGCTGAAGTGCCCCAAACTGAAGTGGCTGCTCCAAATTAAGACAGAGCCACCCCAAACAGAAGCCAGGGAACCCCCAATTTGAAGCCAGGGACACCCCAAATTGACCTGAGGTGCCCCAAATTAAGACGGAGTTACCCCAAATTCAAGCCAGAGCACCTCAAATTGAAGCCAGGCATCCCAAATTGAAGCCAGGCATCCCAAATTGAGCCAAGGCACCCCACATTGAAGGAAGAGCACCCCAAATTAAGCTGGGGCACCCCAAATTAGAGCCTTGGCCACCCCAAGCCCCCCCCCCCCGCCAAATTACAGCTGGGCCCCCTCCAAATTAAAGCCAGGGCCCCCCAAAATTACAGCTGAGGCACCCCCAATTCAAAGCAGGGCTGCCCCAAATCAAGCTGGGGCCACCCCAAATTAGAGGAGGGGTCACCCCATATTAAAGCCCAGGGACCCCCAAATTCAAGCCAGGGGCACCCCAAGTTTGAAGCCAGGGCCACCCCCAAAATAAAGCCAGGACGCCCCAATTTGAAGCCCAGGCCACCCCAAATTAAGCTGGGGCACCCCAAATTAGAGCCTTGGCCACCCCAAATTAGAGCTGGGGTCCCCTAAATTAAGCTGGGGCCCCACAATTTAAAGCCGGGGCCACCCCAAATTAACCCAGGGCACCCCAAATTGAAGCCGAGCACCCCCGAAATTAAGCCAGGGCACCCCAAATTGACTCGGGGCACCCCAAATTGAAGCCAAGGCCACCCCAAATTGAGCTGAAGTGCCCCAAACTGAAGTGGCTGCTCCAAATTAAGACAGAGCCACCCCAAACAGAAGCCAGGGAACCCCCAATTTGAAGCCAGGGACACCCCAAATTGACCTGAGGTGCCCCAAATTAAGACGGAGTTACCCCAAATTCAAGCCAGAGCACCTCAAATTGAAGCCAGGCATCCCAAATTGAAGTCAGGGCCACCCCACATTGAGCCAAGGCACCCCACATTGAAGGAAGAGC